TTAGAGTGTCATTAAGGAAACAAGATTTCACATCTGGAGCCACCAGAGAATCATATATAACCGTAGACAATATAATTGTTCATTGTGGGGTGCCAGCTACAGGGGCTGTAGAATTTGCAGACAATGAAAGACAGTGATAAAAGATGTCTAAAAATGCTTCAAGTTGATCTTGAAAGATGAGAAACACATGGAAAATAAGAGGTGACATACGAAGGCAAGGCGACAGCAAAATGTGCAAGGGAAAGTCATCTTCCAATTAGAGATTGGTCTGGGCTGCTGCTGCTTCCAGAGTTTTATCCTCAGGGCCTCCTGTGGAGCTGGAGGAAAGAGCACGTGAGTGTCCGGCTCAAGTGGAGCTCCCTCCATCAGGCAGCCCCCCAGCTGTGCACTCATCCACACTGGGCACTCTGCCAGGTGAAACAGAGCCTATGGAGGTCAGGTTGTGAGGGCTCTAGGAGTCACACCATGAAAACATCTGGCCTCAGGGACCACTTGCCTGTGTTCTGCCCAGCACACCTGACAGTTTCAAGTGATTCTGATCGCCTTCAAATATGTAACATAAATACTTCTACGAAAGTGAATTTGCATTGGAAAACCATCTTTTTCATCTTGTATCTTTGCATTAAAGTTTTACTTAGAACAACCATGAGTTGGGGTCTCAAAATATCAATCTAGTATTTTTTCCTCTCTTCAAAGATGTCTCTGCATCCACGTTTTGGAGAGGGAATTTGGGGGGACAATGATACCTCACCTGTGGACAGCACGTTTAAACCACCCTGCTGCTAGAGAGTGCTGAATGGCTCCTTGGCTGACCCCACAAGGGGCACCAGACTGGATAAAGAAACAGACACATGTTCTCCTACAGGCCCTGAGGCTAAAACTCCTAGAATGACAGACAATTTGACCCCAGTTTGACATTGCACATTGCTTTGAAGCTTCTTGGCATTCTAAATCATGTTAAACTATGGGTTTTGTAAGGCACCTTGAACAGTGTTTTATAAGGCACTTTGTAGGCAGTGCTATTAAAATTAATTGTTTGAGTTATCATTAAAAGGGATGCCTCTGAAACAGAAGTCATTCTCCTCATCTCTTTTCTCCAGAGTAGCTTATCATCTGCAGGCTTCGCATTTGTTTTAGAACTAGGGCTCACACTGCAGCCAGTCTCCTTCCTCTAGGAAAGGGCCTTTGTGTTCAGCACAGCATCTGATGCGCTCTCGGCCCACTGAGAGTTTTACATACACATGCTGTCCCAGATTCCTATGAGAAGGCTGCAACTGGATTTCGATGGGATCTTTTTCTTCTATACTGTTTTCTCTCATTATTATTGACAGGAAGATGCACTGTGATTTAGGGGACTGGATGGCTTCAAAATCTTTCTGTTCAAACCAATTTCTGGGAGTCTTTTGCAAGTCACTGTTTTGTGTCTCTTAATCACTCTAAGAAGTCAGCTCCCTTCAGAGACACGGCCTAGAAGCGAGGTTGCACTCGACTTGAAGAAGTAGAGAGTAGGTCTCCAGAGTGGGACAGGGAATGGTGTGACAGAGCAGTCTTAGGGGCTCTGGGGGGCAGAGGAGGAGTGGCTAAGGGACACCAAGTGAGGAAAAAGACTGGGGGCAACCAAGACCAATTATTGACCCCAGGACTTTGCACTAGACCAGTTCTGACTCCCAAGCCTTAGATTAGTAGCTTAAAATTTGTCTTCTTCAACGTCTACCATCTCAAAGAGATCCAAATTTCAGGCGTACCTTTGGCACTCAGAAGTGGTGCTGTTTGCAGAACATAGATTCTGGTTTAACGGCTACTCTGTGTAACCTTGGACAAGTCACTCAAGCTTCTTCTCAACTCAGTGTTTCACTAAGCATTCCTTGGAGACCACTTGCATCAAATCCTTGCTAAACTGCAGATTCCTGGGCCACAGACTTACTGATTCAGAATCTTCCAAGGCAGTGCTCAGGGAATCTGTATTTGTTTTACAAACTCCCCAGGTAATTCTTATAAATAATGAAATTGGCAAACCATTCATCTAACTTATAAGGACTCTGCCATTTATGGCATCTAAATGACTTCAAAGCGCTGGTTTCAACTGAGACATCAGAGGAAACATCTTGCCATTTTACTAAAAGCCCTCCTTCCCAGGTGAGCTTTGTCAGAACAACCTTGAAATGCCAACATGAAAAACGAAAGTGCCATTAGGCCTCATTTAGTAACTGCAGAGTTACTGGGTAGTTTTATGTTCTTTTTCTCAAGCCATTGGGTACAAATTATATTTTCTAATGCGTCAGCATTTTTCTAATTCAAGTTTCCACTAGTAATCTGTTTTGCTGTGAATACTGGATAAACTTTATGCCCAGCAGCTAAAATTTTTGGATGCAACAACTCATTTACAGAATTCTCATATATTCATCAAGGAATGAAAGCATGATTTTGTAGAATTGAATTTTAGAGCTCTTATGCAACTGAAAATTATATGGACCAATTTCCTCATTTTAAATTAGAAGCATTAACGTGACTTTCTCTTTCCATCCCCGTCTCTGTCCCCCACTCATCATAGCCTGCCTAATTCTAAACATCCTCCAGCTCAAATGCCACATTCTTAGCCTTGCCAGATCTGCTCTCTCTTCTGTGCTGCCTCAGCACTTTCTCTCAACCTCTTTAAAGCATGTATCACATCTGTCTGATATTAGCTTCATTTATATATATTTTTACCCTTAATGAACCTGTGAAAACAGACTGCATCTTGTTCATCCCTATAACTTGTAGGCAGTGCAGGGTACTCAGTAAGTATTTGATAAATTTTAGTTGGAAAAACATGGCACAGGGCATGCTGGGAGGTAGAAGAATTGACACACTTATTATTACTATTAATTGCAGACATTTACTTAGTTCTTGCTATGCATGGGTTCCAAGTGCTTTACACGCGCTATGTCACTTCATTCTCACAACAATCCAGAGAAGCATATATTATTGTTTTCTCATTTTAGAGATGAAAAAACTGAAGCAGTGAGAGACCAAATAACTCGCCCTTAATTATATGACTAGAAAGTGAGAGAGCCATGATTTGAACAGGGAAGTCTGAATCCAGAGACTCTTCCCGTATAACCTCACTACATTGCTGCTTATACTGGCACGTGAGGGTCCTCCTTCCACAGCCATGCTTTTCCCACCATGCCCACCCCATCATGGTCAAAGACGGGGAACTTGAGATCTTGAAAGCTCAGTGCTCAAGGAATCACATTCTGTTACAGGTTAGAGTGACTGAATTTTACAATATGGCCACAGAATCATGGGATATCAAGAACAAGACCAGAATTGATATATTTTTAACATCTTTATAGTTTTCTCATGGTATGAGCATACGAGGCCTTAGATATATGAAATCAGCCCATCAATAATTGCTAAACATAGAAAAAGTACACAAATACTCGTTTTGGTACCACTCCAGCAACTAATTTGGAGGGATAAGGCTATAAGAGATCCATGTGGGAAGGTCAAAGTCTTTCTTGGAATATGACAAACAAGCAAGTGTGTATGGGGAGGACAGGAAGCTAGTGCAAAGGTAGGCATGCATTTGCCATCCATGTAAATGATTATGGTTCCGTGACTTAATCCCAGGACTCTGATAACTACTCTCAAGTAAGGATCTCAGTTTTATTTACTCGGTTTTCAGCTACCAGTACCCCTCTGTGACTTTTCTCTACTTCCACCGGAGTTGTTATCCATTTTTCTTGCTTCTTGCCCTCCAATCTGTTAAGTTCATCTCACCACCAAGGAGGTGATGGTTGGTAAATTAATCCACTTGCTCGGCAGCCTGAGCTCACCTGATTTCCCTGTGAGCCTCTAACATGCAGGACCACAGTGACCTCTACCTGCCTGCTTTCGAGAGCTCACCCTCACCAGAGAGTCACTGCCACTCCAGGCGTCCCTGGCTCTCTTACCTCAGCACAACTCAACTAATCTGGTGCATTAAACTGCACCGTTGTTCTTGTCTAGTCTTTACAGCAACAATAATGTAAACTTACACTCCCTACAGGCATCTTTATCTAAATTCTTCCTTTTTCATATTCCTTACTGTAAAACATCTCAATATTGATGATTTTGAAGACATTATGTAATATCTATATGTCTGTTTCTACCACTGCAGTGTGAGCTCCTAGAAATCAAGAACAGTATCTTCTTTTTTAATTAATCTTTCCCACAGAGTGCTTAACACAGTACTTTGCTCTTTATAAAACGTTTAATAAACGTATGCCTAATTTAATTGAACAAAAACACAGAATAAAGCAGATCCTTGGCTTGAACGCTCAGTGTTTACTTCTTCTAGCACCAGCACTGTGACTGGGGAACCAGGCAAGGAAAGCGTTACTGAGAATCTGATCAATAACTAACATGGTCTGTCAAATGTTTTCCAGACAAGGAAAAACTAAATGTTCTATTTTTCAGAGGCTGATGTCCCCATTTTTGCAGATGTTGCCATCTTACAGTGAAACTTACACAGTTGCAGCAAGACTCCTGCAAATTGCTCTAGCTCCATGCGTCCAAAAGTTACCATGGACTCATTATGTAATGGCATGTTACACTGAACTCGTTACATAATGGCATGTTAGCTTGAACTCATTATGTAATGGCCTGCTTACCTGCTGCACATGTGCCCTGATGTAGCACAGTTGTAACAAATAAACGTGTTATCTTCTGCTCTCTTGTGTATAAAGTCGCCACCTTCAGGAGCTTAGGGAGACACTGCTCCATTGCTTGTGCAAACAATAAACCTTTTCTTCACCTACTTCAGCTTTGCTTGTGCATTTCCACTCCACACTCACCAAGGGGTGAACCCCTTGAGCTTGGTTAGAATATCACCTCTGGTAGGTTTTTTTTTTATTTTTTAACTTTTTTCCCCTTTTCTCCCCAAAGCCCCGGCGCCCCCTCCCCCGAGTACATAGTCGTATATTCTTAGTTGTGGGTCCTTCTAGTTGTGGCATGTGGGGCGCTGCCTCAGCGTGGTTTGATGAGCAGTGCCATGTCCGCGCCCAGGACTGGAACCAACGAAACACTGGGCCGCCTGCAGCGGAGCGCGCGAACTTAACCACTCGGCCACGGGGTCGGCCCCAAGGGGTTTTGATGTAGATTTCAAAAAAAGCCCACACTTTTTCATTGCTCCTTGCGCCCATGCTCTTTGTGACATCTTGCAATGTGATGTCGTAGCTCCTTTCATCAAGAAGCAGAGTTTATTTCCTCTCCACCTGACTCTTGTGATTTGCTTTAGTCAGTGAGTAGAATCCAGCAGAAATGATGGTGTGCCAGTTCTGACCTCACCCTCCCAAGGCCTTCCATGCTCCTCTTGCTCTTTTGGAACCCTGGAACCACCATGAGGACAAGCCTGGCTTAGGCTTTGGAGGACTAGAGACATTTGTCCTATTCATCATATTGCCCCAGCCAACAGCCAACCAAGCCCAGAACCCTTGCTGCCTGGCTAATCTGCAGCTACCTGCAGAGAAGAGAGGGTCAAGATGAAACCAAAATTGCCCAGCTAAATCCAGCCTAAATTATAAACCATACAAATGATTGTTGTTTAAAGCTACTAAATTTTGGAGTGATTTGTACATATTAGTTAGCTAACCGATACAAGTTCTAAGTGTTGACATCCAGTGATCTTAATCCCCATTTTAGTAAGCAAAAACCTAGAGCTGAGGCCTCCGAGGTCCTAACTGCAGGCTGGACCCACCCTGGTTCTTAATCAGCTGTCTGGTATTGGGTATCAGACAGATTACCAATGCTCCTCACTGCTTTGGCTTCTGCTGTTGCTTGCCAGGTTTGCTCAAACTTGAGAGTTTTAATCTCGTGTTAATAAATATGTGGCTGTTCAGGCAATTTGTTTGGGTATAATTATGCCAATCTCCTAGGAAATTACTGCCACCTAAGTTATTACAGATTCACCTTGGAGACACTGCATCTGGCTGGTTCTTGTTCAGTCAAGTGCTCCCCTGTCAGAGACCAATACATACTGCTCTAAAGCTCTCTTTGCTTAAATTCCTCTGCCTTCGTGGCATGACTCTTGCCAGCAACACCCAGCATAAAACACAGCTCGGGAGAATCAAAAGGAGCCGATATGTCTGGGGGCACACTGCAGCAAGGAGGTAAGAGACTCTCACACTTAAAAAGAAAACATTAGCTTGAATTCTAGTTTTTCTTTTTCTTTTCTTCTTATTGTCTTGAGAAAATGAGACTGCCTTTGCTTCTGTGGAATGGCCCGCCTCACAGAAGAACTGACAGAATGTTCAATGTCCAGAAATTAGACATCTTTTATTTCCAGGGACTTTGTGGAAATTCCTTTACTGGAAAGTCTATTTCTATTGAGTCCTTTGAAGTATAGTGATCCGTGGTCATAATAAAGTGGATAACTTACCAAGAAAGACTTTTGTGCCTCCAAGCAGTGGCATACCAAGGCCAGATCATTGGGAGATGTCCACCCCAGGTGCAAGTAATAAAAGGGAATATTATCTGTACAGAATTTAAAACCAATAATAAAACACACAAAAAGTCAGTCTGCTTTTCATTATTACCATGAGCCAGCACTTCTAAACAACGTCAGTGATAAGATACTGCTTTCCGTTGGGATCCCTCGCCCTGACCTTAGGACAGCCCGCCCCCTGTGTGTGCTCTTCCTTGCAGAGGAGTCTTTTAGGGAGGCTGCAGACCTATCCCAGTGAGTCTGGAAACGCTGAGACCATTTCAGCAGACTTCCTACAAGAGGTGCCGTCAGTCATTCTTCTCAAGAATAGTCTCAATCAGGATTAATATGTATTCCCAGAGGTTGGAAACAATTGAAAGCCACTGTGTTCTTTGCTACCACAGTATGTAGTCAGCAGGAATTGTGAGGGTTCTTGGCCCTCCCGTGTGTGGAGGAGCAAAGATGGGGCACGTAGCCATCCCAAAACCCATGTCCCCAATCCAGCTCCCTCCCTTCCCTACAGGGAACCTGTAACCCATATGTAAGCCATATATTTATATAGTTTATACTGCCTCTTTGAATGGTTTCCAATCTCTAAGAAGTTTTCCCGGACCAACCACATTGCATCAGCATCATTGGGGAATTTATTGGAAATGCAAATTCTCGGGCCCATCCTATTCCTACTGAATCAGAAACTCTGGAGAGTGCAGTCCAGAAATATATAGTTTAACAAGCCCTCCAGGTGATTCTGATGCATGCTAAAGTTTGTTAACCTCTGCTATAGAAAATTATTCATAATCAAAAGTATATGTCAGAATCATCTATCTGTCTGCCTATCTATCTATCTATCTATCTATCCATCTATCTATCTCACCTTGCCTAAGCCCACTCCTGACACCCAGATACAGTAGATCTTAGGTAGAATTGGGCATCTGAATTTTTAAATCTCCCAAGAGTTTCTGATATAAACTTCTAATTGATAATCACTGCTCTGGAGAAATTAGAGTTCAAGTAATTGTAAAATAGACTTTGAAAAGTATTCCTAGGACTTGGTTTCCTCAGACAGCTTAGTTTTCATATAACCTATGTCAATGAAGTAAGTTCATAGACTTGTTTGAAGATGATCACTTCTAGAGCTAAATGTCACTATTTCATATTTAGACCTTACAAACAGGCTCCCTCCACAATTTTGCCACTTAGTAATTATATGACCTATGGAACTCCTTACCAATGAATTCATTTCTCTGACATTTCAGGCCTCTTGCCTTCCTATAGGGAATGACAAGAAGATAAGTGAAACTATATCAAGCACCAAACTAGTTGCAAATCTCTGAGATGACCATACCACAAACTTGTCTCTGCATCTAAACCTGCTATTCATATCGCAGAACCCTCCTAAAGTTCCATTTTCTCTGTGAAGTCTCCTTAAGACCCCTCACTTCTGTTTTTGCCCAGCACTTTTCCACCCACTTCCTTAACTGAGGTCTTTCATACTTTACGGTTTAACCATGTGTTGGACAATTTTAAAATAATGCTTAATATTTTTGGTTAATTTTATACATTAGTTTCCTGATCTAGAGTATAAACTCCTCACTTCAGAGATCAAACTTCTATGCTAGTCATAGAGGAACTACTCAACAAATGTTTGGTAGTCTCTACTTACTATTAAACTTCAAGAAAATTGTAAACTCCTTGTTGCTGGTGAGTAATTCTTCAACTAAAAGAAAAAAAAAAAGCCTGACTTAGACTCCGGGGAAGACACATTGAACGTCTGTTTAAAATTTTGTTTGATTTTCTCCCATCCCAGCTGACACAAAGCTAAAATAAACTCCTAACTTCCATGTTCTCTTTAATCATGTGGAAACCAGACCCCTCTGAGGATTATAGCTGTGTACCCTAGACATGCTGGTTATCCCAGTCACACACAGACTATAGTTTTACGTGCAGTGAGGAGTCCACAGGGTTTCCAAGAGAGCATTCTAACATCCACCATCTTTGTACGGGTAATTTGCAAAAATTGAGCTTCCTCAGACCAAGGAAACCAGCAAGCTCCTGCTAACCCTCCACATTCACTACCATCATCTTGACCTGGATTCTCAGGAATCTAAGAGTTTCTACTCCATTTCAGAGTCTAAACCAATATGTCAGTTTGTGTCTTTTGTTTGTTTAATGAAAGTAAAACTAAATCTTAAATGCTGGTGACTGACATGTTCAGGGATTAGCAACAGAATGAAGTACCTTGAGTTTGGTCAGTTGCTCCAATGTCCATGAGATCTCTGGTTGCAAGAATGTCCTAGAAATGAAACCATTCCCAGGATTGGCTTCAAGTGAGCTAACTGCCAATGACTATTTACTCAGCAGTGTCTGGTTGAATTGGAGGACCTGAACAAGGATACACCTCCATATCCAAAAAAGAAGAAAAGAGGAGAGGATCCTTGCACCTCACAATACTGAAATTCTGAGAACATCAGAGCCTCATACAAATCTTTATGTCGAATCAGGAACGAAAAATAGTGCCATTTTATACGTAGAAAATTAAAAACTCAGGCAAACAACAGAAAATATGGGCAATAATGGCAGAACTGTCAACTTCTGGTTAGGGCACAAAAAATCACAAGAGACAGTTACTCTCACTCTAATAAGAAAAGACTGGGTGAGTTAGAACTCATTGTTTTTGTTTTGTTGTTTTAATTTACTGGGTAACTGAGGAGACAGAAAATTAATTAAACAAAATAAATAAAGTGACAAGCCTTTCCCAGGAGATGGGGAAACTATGACTTCTTTTATCTCTGGTGGAGCAGCAGTCGGCAGAAGAATCCTCTGTGATCAGGCATAAGAAGAAAGCAGCCAACGTTAACAACTTCTAGTGACTGTCTGGAGACTGCCCTGACAAATTAGAATTCTGAGGTGACTCAGTGAGTGAGACCACACTTACCTGTCAACACAATTGGGTATATGGGAAGAAAAGTGAGAGACGATCTCAGTAAGTGAATGGGGTCTTTCTCAAATTCAGGGCAGCAGCTCCCAAGGACTGTAGATGGAGAGCAAGAACAGAGAGATTTACTGAGGTATAGCCAGGTTGGATGGAAATGGAGAGCAAAGAGAATACCACAGTAACCCAAAAAGCTGGTGGCTGGAATTCAAGCACAAAAGACTTGCAAAAGCTCACCTATGCTAAGATCTCAATTTCTCTGCTGATGTGAAAAAACACAGATTAGATTAATTTAGCTCCCCACACTAGCAACTTCATAGATAAAGAGGCATTCACTTTTCTAGAAATAAATCATATTTTTGTCAGTCTCTAATATTCTCTTAGACAAAATTGCTCACATAAAATCATGACATTATGGGACACATAAGCATGAAAATAAATGATTATCAAGAGAGGAAAAGGTCACTAGAAAAGAAGCTATAGATGCCCTAAATATTAGAATTATCCTGCAAAGAGTTTAAAATGACTATGATAAATATGTTAAAAAATATCATGGGAAAATAGAACTACATGTGTGAAGATATAAAAAATCTCAGCAGAGACATGGAAAATACAAAAAAAAAATGGGTAAGCTGGAAATGAAAAATACAATATTAGAAATTAAGAATCCACTTGATACCAACTGTAGATTGACACAACAGAAAGAACCAAAGAACTGTAATATTGGAACATACAAGCAATCCAAACTGAAATACAAAGAAAAGTAGTAGCAAAAGGTGAACAAAGCATCCGAGATCTGTAGGACAACAATTGGATAGCCTAACATATGTGTAACTGGAGTCCTGGAAGGAGAGAGAGAATAGATCAGTAGAAATATTTGAAGAGCTATTGGCTGAGAATTTTCAAAAATTGTTTAATGATCGCAATCTACAGATTAAAGAAGCTCACTGAAACTCAAGCAGGATAAATTAAAAGAAAACCATAACAATGCATACTATAGTCACACTTCTAAAATCCAAAGATAAGGAAAAATTATTAAAAGCAGCCAGAGAAAAAAGATTACATGCAAGGGAGAACTGGTATCAAAACAAACAGAAAAACAAAAAACTAGCTTGTCACCAAAAACAATGGAGGCCAGAAGTCAAAGAAACACCATCTGTAAAAGGTTGAAAGAAAAAAATCCTGTCAATCTAGAATTCTCTCCTAAAAAAATGAGGGCAAAATAACGACATTCTTGGGGCTGGCCCCGTGGCATAGCGGTTAAGTTCATGCACTCTGCTCTGGTGGCCTGAGGTTCACAGGTTTGGATCCCAGGCGCAGACCTACACACCACACATCAAGCCATGCTGTGGTGGCATCCCCTATACTAAACAGAGGAAGATTGACACAGATGTTAGCTAAGTGACAATCTTCCTCAAGCAACAAAGAGGAAGACTGGCAACAGATTTTAGCTCAGAGCCAATCTGCATCACCCACACACACACACAAAAGACATTCTAGACAGAAAAAAATGTTGACATAATTCAATTTCAAAAGATCTGCACTATAAGAACTACTAGGAGAATTTCTTTAGGCTGAAGGGAAATGATAATGAATGGAAACCCAGATGAGCAAAAGGCATGATAAAACTTAAGATTTGTCTACTAGATAACAGTATTGTATCAATGTTAATTTTTTTCAGTTTGGTATTGTATTGTGGTTATGTAAGATTTTAACATTTGGGCAATTGGGGTGAATTCTTTCTATTGCTTTTACAGTGTTCTGTAAGTCTGATAAGATTTCAAAATTTAAAGATAAAAAACATATTAAAGGAAGGAACAAAGTTGAAGGATTTATACCACTTGATTTCAAAATTTACTATAAAGCTATAGTAATCAAGAAACTCTGATATTGATGTCTTATAGAGAGATCATATCATATAGACCAATAAAACAAAATAGAGAGTCCAGATAGAGGCCCCCACATATATGTTAAGACGATTTATGACCAAGGCATTGATTTAATTCAATAAGGAAAATATCTTTTTAATAAATGATACCAGAAAAACTAGATATCTGTGTGAAAAAGAAATTAACCACAACCTTTACCTCACAGCATACATAAAATCAATTGGAAATGGGTCATAAACCTAAATTTAAAAGCAAAAATTATGAAACTTGTACAAGGAAACATAGGAGAATTTTGCAATCTCAATGTAGGTAAAATTTGTTATATAGGACACTAAAAGCATAAACCTTAAAAGAAAATAATTCATAAATTAGACTTTGCCAAAATAAAAGCTGTTGCTTTTTGAGAGTCACAGATAAGGAAATAAAAAACCAAGCCTCAGACTGGATGAAATATTATATATGAAAATATTATATGTATCTGGCAAAGAATTTATATTCAAAATATATAAAGTACTCCTACAAATCAGCAATAAAAAAATTAAACAGTGCATAAAAATTTGGGCAAAACACTTGAACAGACACTTTGTAAGTAAAAGATGTACAAATGGCCAGTAAACACATGAAAAGATATTCAATGCTATTAGTCATCAGGGAAATACAAATTTAAAAAAGATATCTATAACCACTAGAATGGCTAAAATTTAAAAAAATAAGACATTACCAAATGTTGGTGAAGATTTGGAGCAACTGGAACTCTCATACTGCTGGGAATAAAAAATCATTCAATACCTTTGAACAACTGTTTGGTAGCTTCTGAAAAAGTTAAGCATTACACATATCCTATGACCCAGGAATTACATCTCTAGGTTTTTACTCAGGAGAAATGAAAACACAAGTCCACAAAGGACTTGTAACAGCCTTAATCATAGTAGTCAAAAACTAGAAACAGTTTCCAGTCTGACAGTTCTCCTGTTGAGGACAAAGTTTCCTCAACAAGAACACTAATACAGAAATTCTGGGATATTCATACAATGGAATACTATTCAGCAACAGAAAGGGACAAACTACAAATATATCAATATGGATGAATTTCAAAAACATTATGTTAAGAGAAAGAAGCCAAGCACAGAAGGGGCATGCTATGTATGTAGATGAAATCGAAAAATAGGCTACACTAACATGATGGAAATCAGGACATCGGGAGCCTCTGGATTGGAAAGGAGCGCAACACAGCATTCCGAGGTGAAGAAAATATTCTATACCTTATTTCGGATACTGGTTACATGGGTATTTATGAAAATCAAGATTCATCAAACTGAACAATTAGATCAGTGAATTTTATTGTATGCAAATCATAACTCCAAAAAGAATGAGAGAGGGAGGAGGGGAAGGAGGAGATGGGAGGGAGAGGTGAGGGAGAGATGGGAGGCGGGAGGGAGGAAGGCATGGCAGGGCAGGGAACACAGACCATATGCTAATATTTCAACCCAAATATGCCAAATTAATTAAAACCAGATCTTTCTAAATTCATGGTAGCAGTATTGGATCTTTCAAAGAACAAACATTGTTACATATTTTTCATGTTAACTCACCATTACGTTTCCAAGAAAATGAACAGTCCAACTATAAAATCTGCTCTCTTCACATGTGGATAGAGTAGAATCCAGAGAAACTGATTTTGTTTTTTTAATGCTGAGGTCTTAAAAATCAGATTACCGGCTGAATTTCATGTCAAAATGAGTGATTATTTCAAGGTTCGAGATTGTACACAGCAGGCCCTGTGCCCTCTCTCTCAGGTATCCAGTAGATAATAGAGCTGCTTTCTACACCCCAGCAGGATGTAGAAAATTTCCTCAAGAACATGAATTCAAAGTCCTATTAGCTTCTGGAAACATCCTAGTCTAAAAATTAAAATTTCAGCCTCAGCAGGCTCTTTTTTCCTCATTCTTTCTTCTCTTACGAAAAAAGCCTCAACAGCAAGGACCTGATGCTCTTAGATAGGTTCCATTTTTGAAAGTAAATATCAAGCTTAATTATTTGGAAGTTATATATTTAAGCTTCGTCACTCATCCTTTAGCAGATAATATAGGGAAATTAGGGAAAGATTTGCTTGAACAGAACAGGTGGATTAGTATACAAAAGTAATATTAAGATGTTCTTCTTCACTCTAACAACAGAAGCAGCCACATATTTCTCTAAGCTGTTTTTTTTTCCAATTTAAATTTTCTAAAAATGACCATAATCAGTTTATGATAATTGAATCTGGAGACTCAAGCACTTCTTTATTTTTATCTAAATTTGTTTATTCCTTCTTTCAATCTCCCAGGAAGAGGGAGCAGGAGACTTTTGGGGGGAATATTCAAGCTAATGTGACGTTGCATTGATCTGTTTTTGGTCTTTTTGGAGAGAGTGTCAATCAAAAGTCCTTTCCCTCCCACCTTTTCCCTGGGTGGCAGCTAAATTCTAGGGGATTTTTCCAGTGTTCAGAAATCATTAGGGAGAACTCTCATCTGAGACTATCCCATGAGCTCAATTGGTGTCCCCTAATACATAACTTCCCCCATCTGTCTTTGGCTGTAGACACGTCTAATTCTCAGAATTTCGCATACCCCCAAACATGCTTTCTGAGCCAGCTGCCTCCTGCCTCTGCACTCACTGTCCACATTATCAGTCTTTGGCTGTATCCTTTACTTAGCTGTTAAACCCCTTTAGACCACCAGAGCTCTCCCTCAGCTAACTCCTGCCCCTGCTCAGGGTGAACAAAACTGGTTTGGTTGTGTTGTTTTTCTTTTTCATTTTCCTTTGAGGGAGAAGGAAGGTCTTCTTAGCTGTGTAAGCCTGGTGCCTTGATGATGGGTAATGTGATGTAAAAATAGGATAGAGTTTTAAATTTGGGCTCTCAGAGATATAGAGTCACTGTGATTATAGGATTTAGCAAATGAAGATTGTCTACCAAAATCTGAAGTGCCAAATGTGTGACCTTTCAAATATTATTTATTCATGTAACACATTTCTACTGGATGTGTACTATGTGCCAGGCACCATTCTAGAAGCTGGGGCCACACAGACAAATGATGAGACAGATGTAATCTCTGCCCTCTTGGAACTCACCGACTAGAAGGGAAGCCAAAGAATGAACAAGTAATTCCAGGTTTTGCATTGATTTGAAGAAGGAACCATGGGTGCTGTTAGGAGAGCATGTTAAATAGCCCTAACTCTTGAAGGGAAAAGGGAATAGTCCACAGTGTTCGCTCTTGGTTTTTATTAATTAATTAATCATTAAATATTTCTACACTCCATGTGATAGGCCCAGAATTACATAGGCATTGAGATTCTTAGATTTGAGACTCAGAAGTCCTACCTTAGAATAAAGAAATGCTAATCCTAATTACAATATAAGTGTCAATAAGACTTTAATTCATAAATTTGCTAATGGTTATCCCTGCTGCTCAAAAACAAACATAAATGTGATTCTCTGCTCGATTGCCCTCTGTTCCGCCTTTCCACTGAGATCTCTCAGCAGCATCTACCTGTGACACTCACTCAATAAAGAAAGATTTGACAGCAGTGAGAAGTTGGACTAATCTTCTAATCTTGTCTTAGCCAGGCACAGTAGGTCTCCCAGTTCAGACATCACCAGTGCCCAGACAGGAGCGAGCCACAGATCAAAATGCAGCAGTCCTGAATGTAAAGCAACGGCTCCCCCTGCTCTTTGAGAGGGCAGTCTGCTTCCTCAGCTTTGGGTCAAGGTTATTTTCCCATAGTAAGACCAAGATGACTCCTTTTTGGTGCTCATACTATTCACAGCTGCCTTTGACATCCCGTGGTGTCTGCTCTAGAGGTCAGGCTGCAACTTTCGATTCACACTATTTGATTAAAAAAATCAGAGATGCGTTGCCCTTGGAAATAGGCTGCAGTAAAAATAGATCAAAATATCCAGTGTCTCCAGGAAAGCTCAGGTTATTGTCTCTTTATCCAATTTCTTTAAATTTGTAAAGGCAGGAAGAGCTCTGGGTCTCTGAAGAAATTGTACAGCTAAGAGTAGATTTTATAATATAAAGTTTTCTCCTGCACAATAATAGTGACTCACAAAAATCTGAACTCACAAAGCATTTAGGGTTGTGACATCCTACAGAAAAGCAAGAAGTTGGAACTCATATTTATCTTTCCATAATTAGACTTTGCTCTAGCTGTCACAAGGAACATTGCAGTGCTCTGAGACACCAACAGCATTCAAATTTGGAGTGATGCTAAAAATGAAGGCAGATTCTACTTTCAAGCAAGCTGATCAGTCTGGAGAAATATCCCAAAAGAAGGCATGCCATTCGGAGTGTTGTTTAAACTCAATGGTTTCTCTGGAGTTACTTCCACCTCTCAGGCATATCTCACTACTTGAAAGAGACACAGGCTGCACATTAAATATCTCCAAAGACCTTTTTGGAAAGAGAGATTAATGTGAGTGGTCATTAAAAGCTGTGTCAGGGCCACGTAAACACAGGCACCGTGCAGAGTTTACAAAGCAATCCATCAATCAGCAACAATCCTTGAGGGCCTGTTCCAAAGGCAGTGGGAGCCACAGAAGGTCCTTGACCAGATGACCAGCATATGGAAAAGGCTGTCTGTCTTATGGAGATGGTGGGTTGGCAATGACGGCAGCTAGAGGGGAAAGGCAGTTACAAGACAGTGCAATGGGCAGGAGCCTTCTGAGGGCCTAACTTAGGCAGGTGACAGTGGATGTGGAATGTATAACTATGAAAGGCCTTGAAAACAGAAAGAACAACAAGACTAGTAGTAAATATAGGGGCCTGAATAGGTGACGTAGGTCTGGAATCTAGACAACTATGTCCTGAAAATGAGGGAACCAGTGCAAGCATCAGGTATAGAAAGGTCAGAACCTAGAGCAGCCTTGGAGGAAAGATTATGCAGAGCAATTTGGAGAGCAAGGAGTTTTTGGGAGTCTGAGAATGAGTTACAGCTGGGTGGCACAGAGACCACATCTTGACTGCCCCACCCCACTCTCCTATCCCCCACCCCCACCATTGAATTGCTCTCCTCTTAGTAACCACAGGTCTCAAAGCAGCTTCTGCAATCCTTATTCTAATTTTTGGCTGCAGGATCCTGCATTGAATGTAAGGCGGGGCAGAGGAAGTCGGCTGTGCACAGAGCCATCCCTATCTACATATCCCAGGCACTCTCAAGGGATGCAAAGTACAAAGTGTTTTGGAATTGTAAACATGTTAAGGGAACAGTCATCCATCAAGGCCACAAGAAGTACTGTGGATCCATGAAGGGACAATTAGCAGCTCTAGAGATTACTGCCCCGGCATAGAAAGTAGCATAGAAAGACACAAAGACATAGGGACAAGGGAGAAAATAAATCAGGGAGGCAAATGGCAAACTTTAACCTCTCATAGTGAAGTTCTTTTTCCATAGAGTTGGGCAGAGCAGATCAAAAAGATGCTTCAGCTAATTTTGTGTTGCTCTTTGGATCCATTTTATCCTCCACGCTGTGTAATATTATCTTTCCATTATACTTATTTTGTCTATTATTAAGTCATTACTTTTGTTTAATCTAAGAATGCTTATTGAATGCTTTGTGTTAAATAGTACTCTGCTAGATGCTAAATGGGGCCGAGTGAGGGCAGAGGGTGGAGGAAGGAAAGCGGGAGAACATTATATGGGAGGAGGTACAGTGCTATGGAGGGAAGCATGGCTCAAGATTCTAGGTTGAGTCCTCGATGTCAGGATTTGGAAGAAGTCAATTCTTAAAGTTCATCACAGCAATTAAATGGATGATAGAGAATTAAGTGATGGTTGGAGGGCAGGAGAACAATCTAGATAGAGAAGTCCTACTGGGCGTGTTCTGAAGATCCTCATAGATTAGTGAAAGTGTTCTCAGGTGGTGCAGTGCAGCTCACAGGTAACAAAGCACTCTCATGGTGGAAAAGAGAGTGGACTGAGACTGGAAAATAACCCTGGGTCCTCCCATCAGCTCACATATGACCTTAGCAAAGCCTCCTGGGCCTCACTCTTCCCAAATGTCCAAGAAGGGAGGTAAGCTGCATACTTCCTGTCACTCCAGGCCAGCCCTGCTTTTCCTACTTTGTTTTGCAATGCAACAGGACTCTGCTCTTCTTGACAACTTTCTTAGTGACATTCATTCTCTACTCCCCATGGGCGCTTTTTCATTTCATCTTTACCATAAAGCTTTTTATTTTCTGGTAAGTGAAAATATCATGATTCTCTGTCTACTCCAAGTTCTACCCAAACTCACCCATAAGCAAAATCATAAATTAAACCTACCCTAAAAATCCCCTCCATTGTCCTTCAAAAAGACAATCGCTAGAGTGAGTGGTCTGTATGCATCCATCACTTCACAGTGCAAACTTCTCTGGTGGTCCCTGGGGAAAGAGAAAGCAGAGGAAACCAGGCAAGGGCTGACTCCTTAAGTGGAAGCCAGAACATGTTAAATCAGATACGACCTACCTTTGCAATATGTCATTTCTGAATTTGTTTGCGCATATTAGGAGTGAGCAGATTTTCTTGATATTACTTCATCATGAGCCTGATCATAGAAACCCTTAGAAATGAAAGAAATATAGCTCAGAGATTCAAAGGGCTCTCTGACTCTCTAAAACCCATTTGGTGGGTCTCAGTTTTTATCTGGGCTACCTTGTAGATACTTCTACTGTTAACCTTATGAGTCTAAAGCAGTTACTTCTCTGTGGGAGTATTTCAGACAGAGACCACATCTAAATCAACTCTGTATTGCCAGTGCCTAGCACAGTGCATGGCACTGAGTAGGTGCCCAATAAATATTTATGTAGGCACCCAATGAAGAAGCAAATGAATAAATGCAGCAAGTGGGTAATGGCCTAGTTTAACAGGTCACCAACGGCTACTTTAGAGATTGAACAACATGTGCTGTTAGACTGCTCTCTGCCAAAGAACTCATCTGTGTGCTTCACAATTATTTCTAAGCAGTGTATGTGTAATAGTAACAGCCATGATTTGAGCCTCACAGCGTGCCAAATTGTGGGCCGTTAGCTCATTTAATTCACAGAACAAGCCTGTAGACACTATCATTATCTTCCTTTTATGGAGGAGGTAACAGACACTAGAGGAAGGAACATAACTTGTTCAAGGTTATTTCATGAGCCTGATTTTGAAAGTCCAGAGCCATCTAACTCCAAATTTTGTGCTCTAAGTCACTGTGATATATGCTTCTCCAGAGGCAGCTTAACAGACAAGGTCAGTGTTCCAGCCTGTGTTACCTCACAGAGGATTTTATGTTGATGAATCGGAGTAGCCAGGGAAAAGGTCACCAACCCAGCGTAGAGTCCAAAGTCTCCCATTGACTTGCTAGGCGACCAGGATAAAATACTTACTTTTCCTATTTCAGGCTCCTTGTTTGCAAATAACGGGTATAAAACTCTGAAATCTCTTTCTAGAATATATTATAATTCTAATAGGCCATGTGTTTTAACACATTTTTTCCCTCTGTCAGCTTTTTCTCATCGGCTGCATCTCCTGTCACCATTCTTTGGAAATGCAGACGTGCTTTTCAGTTTCAAAAAAGAAGACAACAGTAAAAACTTTGGGCTAAGTGGAGTATGAAAATGAACAGGAAAGGATTGTTAACTGAGTTTGACGTTGGAGGTGACATTGCTAATTTCTACCGCCTCTTCTGTCTTTATGAAATGCACAGAATGACAGAATATCTGTCAAGGAGTGGCAGAATTCCCTGTCTTATCACAGATCTGTGCAAATGTAAAAGCTATGCAGAAGGTCAGTGAAAAAGAAGAAAAAGGAAGGGTAATGTATGCCAGGTAATAACTGGAGCCAAAAAAGAAGTTTTAGTGGATTTCTATGATGCAAAATGTGGGAATCAGAAATGTGAAATAAATACTCATTTAGAAAACAAGATGCAACTTCTCCCTTTGGCTTAGAAGAATTTGGAAAATAATAGTAAATCAGTGAATAGCACTGGAATTTACTTATGATTTTTAGTTGATCGGCTACTATCATCCGTCTTCTCCTATGTGCAAAGTTACTGTGCTGGCCTATGTCAGGAGAAATGTAGGGGAAGTATCAACTGCATCCTGTCCTTTGGGAGCTCATGATCTCATAGGTAAAATAGTATTAAAACATGAGATGAATAAAGAAATTCATAAAATATATGATGCATGATTTCTAGGCCGAGCACTAGACCTGACAAAAAGTAAATATTCAAACAAGTGTTGAATGGAATTGAAGGGAAATGGAAGCCTGTGTAATACCAGTCCCAAGTGGTGGGATTAGAGGATGAGCTGATCTAGAAGGGTTTCACAGAGAAGATGAAGTCACCCTGGGCTTTCAAATATGGGCAAGATTACAGATATGTTGATCTTTAACACATTTAGATAAATATCTCCTAGGACTTAACGGCATCTTTAAAACCAGGGTCAATACAACTTAAAAACGTTCTCCTCTCACTTGACATCTAAACTGTATCTGACTCAGGACAGTTCAAGTGCAAAATACTGGGAGCACGATTCGTCTGTGACAGCTGGGTGGCAAGGCGCAGAGGCAGATTTCCAAATCACCTTTTGGTTAGAAAGCTTTCAATACAGATTCGTTGTGATGCTCACTAAGTACTTGCTCCTGAATGAAGAAATGAGTGAATGATTCCTTTCAAAATATAGTACTTCGAAGAGTTACATACCAGCTGATAGACAAGACTGGAGCCAGTGCAGCTTCTTGGGTTGACTCCTTCCACCCGTGACCTTCTATTGGAGACCCTGAAGCCCCGAGGGCTAAGAGCAGCACAGTCCAGGCAGAACTGCATGTACAGCAGTGACTCCCACCACGGAGCCCCTTCTAAGAACTACACAGATCAACCTTTCAATAGCAAGTCTGATTTCTCACAATTTTCAGCTGAGTGAAATCATTAAGCCCCTGATATTAACTAGGAAGTGGGCTCCAAAATATTCCCTTTATTCCATTTGCATCCGTTACTGTATTTGTGAAATGGAAATAACAGAACTGTTGGAAAGTACAATTACTAAAAGTGATTATGAAGAATTTTGCAATATAAAGTGTTTGTTAAAATTGAGAAGTACTCGATGTATCCTTCCCAATTCCCCCCAGACTATGAAAACCCCATTTGTAGAAATATCATAAGCTTGCCTAGACAGCAAGTATTTTGAAGCTTATGCTTCACTATTTAAATCTGTCATCTTGCAAAGTAGCTCATTATTTCAGAAATATGAGCATTTTAAAGATGCTGCTGCAGTCCTCAATCACAAGTTTTCACTGCTTTTACTTAAAATAAGCTAACCTGAAATTGGTCTCCACATCCACGTCTTTGCACGTAGGTCTTAAATGACAGTGATGTGTGTGCACATGTGTGTACATTTTAAATGCGATGTCTAGGAGATGGCTCTTTTAATTATCCCTGTTAGAATGATCTTTCTCCTTTAGAATTCCCATTTGGTCGAACAATAAGTGGGAGAAATCATTTTCTCTTGTACACCTCATTGAAATGAGCTTTCGTGAGAAGTTAACTTAGCTAATTTGTTTGCTTTGCATAATTATTATAATCACCCACTAAGTACTACCAGTGAATAAGCACTAATATCCTACAAGAATATCACAGGCATTTTTTATAAATTCTTGCTTTTAGTCCAAGGAATGTCTATTTGCTTCCTTCCCTAATCCAGGGAGACAAAGGGATTGAGGGAAAGTGAAGTCGAGTTAAAACCCTGAGTGTAGACAAACTCAGATTTCCCTGTGAGAGGTGGCAGCGAGTAGAAGGGTAGAGATGGCAAGATAAAGAAAAGAGACTGGATGTGGTAGAGAGGGCAGCGTAACTTAATGGTTAAGTGCTCGGGCTCTGGACTCAGACTGCCTGGGTAGACACTCGGCTCTCACACTTTCCATGCAGGCTTGGGAACATTACTTAATTTCCCTGGTTCCCAGTTTCCTCATCTGTAATGGAGTCAATAACAGTTCATACTTCAAATTTATGTTATGAGGATCAAATGAAATAATAGGTATAGAATACCTAAGAAGCGCTTGACTTAGAAGAAGTGTTCAAGAATGCTTCACCAGTGCCAACTGCACATATTTGGAGGGACTCCTGGGAGAAGGCACAGGGCCCCTTCTCAAGAGGCAGCTACATGAAGAACATCCAGCCACTTCCACCCACCTGTGCCAAACTCTTCTTCACCCTCCTACCCCCTCACGGAAGTCAGCAGGAGAAGGAGAAATACCTGGGCGTCAGAACACCTGGCTTCCATTTACAGCTCTGCTACGTGCATTATGTTCTTATCGTATTCCAGACTCCATGCTCATTGCCTTATACTATGACTTAATTCCATAAATGTAAAAAAGGGAAAATCCTAACCCTTACTGTAGGTTTGTTGTAGGAATCAGTGGTGAGACTGCACGTGAAAGCATTTTGCACACTAAGAAAAACCAGCAGCTTTAGACCTGCTGGCATTAATGCTAAACGCATAAGGCTGTGTCTATTTTACTACATAATATATCTGGCTTCGGCTAATCCACATCTGCACTGACAACAAAGGACAAGTTTCCATGGCCAATACTCCTAAGAGTATTCACTGTAAGCCATTTCCTCCAAGGGCAGACTGTGACACTGGGTGTGTGTGTGGACCTTGCCTGCTGCTTTCGCTGCAGAGGTCTGACATGAGAAAAAGAGACCTCAAGAGAGCCTGTCCTTGCTTGTGCCAGCTAGAAGGAAGCTGTCAGAATGACTCCTGAGCTGCTGTGGGGGGTGAAGGTGTAATTAAAAAAGAGCAAAGGCGTGGGAATTTCAGAATATTCATACACGGTGGTGCCAGAGAGGGTAAGCCCTCTTACTTTTGACCTTAAAAAGACCTAGCTTTTAGCAGAAAATTAAAATACATAGTATATGTATCAAAGTTTAATATCCAAAGTTAATTTGAGGATTAAAGTTGTCACCTCATTAGTTACACAAAAATATGAATTATTTTCACTAGTCATAATATTGAGACTTTCAGCAGGAAAGTAGAGGTTATCAACTCTGTCTCAAAGTAGAGTGCCTGCAATGTTTCTTTAAAAATACAAATACCTGGGGCCTACTTCACAGAATTCTGATTTATTTTGTCTCAAGTAGGACCCGGGTATCAGTATTTTTAAATGCTCCTGAGAGAATTCACAGTGTGGCTGAGGCTGAGGTCCACTGGAGAAGAGCCAGGGCCCCAGGTGCTGAGCCTCCTCCTCTGTTTTATATCAGTGGATTCTCTCTCTATTGTATATACTAACCATGTGCTCTTACCCATGTTTCTTTTTTTATTTTACAGTAAAACTAGGTTATGTGTATACAGCCCTACACATTTGTATGTCTGGTTGTTTAGGTGGTTATGTCTGTTTAGAG